CTACACATGAATCACAACAAATCCTAATGAGGTGAGACTGTCCCTATTCCACAATGAGGACAACCAGGGACACTGAGAGATCAAGTAATTTGCCTACACAGCTGGTAAATGACGACACCTGAGTTTTAAAATCAAGGCTGCTGATTCTGAAACTGTACTCTGAACTGCCATTCTGTGTCTCCAATGTTCTAGGTATTGTTTGGAAGAAAAAGTTGTAATCCACACTGCCCCAAATCACTTGGCCAGCTCCATTTTGCTGTATCCTGAGGAAGAAAACTACTCAAGAAATTTTCGTTTGCTCAAACCAAACATTCAAACATCCAAAGATAACAGGAGAACATTGGCCCTGGCAATGATTGAATTCTGCTCTAGAAGACCTCGTAAAAGCCCCGTATTTCTCTCCTCGTCTGGGGAACAGAGGTATATATGCAAATCAATTCCCAGGACCTGTCCTGATATTTTGCAGTTTCTCTCATCAAAGTAAACCCATAGGTCTTCATCTAAAAACTATTACACTTAAAGGCATTTACAATATATAGAAAGCTCAAAACTTTGTCAAAACCCTCAAATCCCTAAGGAACTAAAAACACATTGTCTCCTTCTTTTGTATCTTCCAAACATTCAGGACAGTGTATACTGCAGGTGCCTAAATGTGCCTGAATGCAAAGCTGAATGAGTGAATGCAGTATTTACGTTATGTACATTTCGCCAATGTTAAACCAAAATAAAACAAAGCCAACAAAGCACATGTATACTTGATAGAACTTTTTATCACACATGTGTTTTAAATAATATTTGTCTGCCTAATCCAGACTTCATGGTGCATGTGAGGGTATACTTGTCAGGCTAAGGAAAGCAGGTTCAAAGTAATTGAGAAAAGCAGTTTAAATGACAGTGTTTTGATTCAAATTTCTTAAAGCATTTTTATAATATATCCCATGTAGTCCCATAATCTGATGGACAAATATGTTGAAGATTCAATCACTTAAAAATCATTGAGGGTCACAGTGGTGACAAGGGATTTTGCAATATGGCCTCCACTAATAGCACAAGGCTTTGAGCAAAGTCTGTACTGACTGAGGGCATGCCCTTGAATGTGTTTTCTTAGCAAATTCCCTGTGGGTCTTGTATTTCTTGCCTTTTGGCCTATTTTAACAGAATGGTCAATGCTTTGACCTCCTAGACAATGAGGGCTGGCTCCCTTTCTACAAAATCAGTTATTGAATCGAAGATTGAGGCTATCTCTGCTAACCTTTTTGCTTTAATGACATATATCTTCATTCTATATATAATGTTCTCTGATGTTTTGGCAGCCTTTAAGACATTGCATTATGCTGGCATCATTGATCCCTGCAACAGCCTGCTCATCAGCTAGTTCTGACTCTTCCTCTCTTTGTCTTTTCTCCCTCATTTGCACTAACTTAATGGAGAATCATTTCCATTTGTGGATTTGTGGCTCATGTTGCTAAAGGTCATCAGAGGCAGTGGTGGGAAATTAAACGAGATGGATTTTTGTAGTTACCATTTCAGTTCTAAATAAGCATAATGCTTGATTCTTGAGACAATTGCATTTCTAAAAGTCAAAAACTTGGATTTTACTGTGAAATATACTCTTTTTGCTTCATTCTACTTGGAAAAAATTAAAATATATTTAGATTTTATTATGATCCTTGAAATCCAACTTTTCAAGTTAGTAGGGCATTTCTACTCTCAATCTCCATGTTATAAATTTATTTACTCATTTATTTATTAACAAGATAGGCCATGTTTAAATGAAAGTCCAGGGATCTAGGATTTTACATTCTTGATTCAATACTCTAGCTTATGTTTCCATATCTCCCCCAAGCCATTACTTGTTTGATTTCAACCATTAACTTTCCAAATGTTCTTTATGTATCAGGCACTGGGCCAGTTATGAGAACCCAAAGGAGAACAGGCATAGCTACAGGCTCAAAGATTTTGCAGTCTTTCTCCTAAACCCCCAGACATAAAATGTAATATATGTTTTTAAGCTAAAATTAAATTTGTAGAAGCGTTTGAGGACTGTACAGAGTTTTCTCAAATTGTTGGAAGCCACTGGAAAAGTAAAACCCACTCAGAAAATTGTCCACTGACAGTCTGGTGTACATGAGCCAACCTTCAATGACTCCTTGCTTTTTCTTCCTCCATTCTGCCCCAAGGACCACATCTTTATCAAGTCTGGTGCCTCCTAGCTCTCAGAATGTTACCCAAAACAAGGCAGAACCAAAGCATGGAGGACTTCAATCATATTTTTCAAATCAATAGCAGAAATTAACTCTAGGATCTTCTCCAAAGCGTCTACAATTTAAACTCTTTTTTTTCCTTTTCACTATGCTAATTTTTCTTATTACATGTATTTATTAAGCCATGTTGAAGACCACATTCTAGTTAAACAGTTCAATGAATCTACCTTTAAACAGTTAAACTGTCTACCTTCATGGACGTTTGTACAATGTTAACGTTAAATTCCACCTTCTAGACAAATCTACATTAACCTGAGTGTTCTTTTCTCCTTTTCTAACCTCTACTGCCATTCATCATCCACGTCCATAATTATCCCCACACACAAAAGAAGAGGGAGGAAAAAAGCCTCCTTCACTTTACCTTCCTCAGGTCATTTAAAACCAGCAATTTCTCTTTTAGCATTCTTATCCTACCTGCTTCACTCTGCAACTCTATAATCCCCACATCATTGAGTATGACTTTAGATTATTTTTAACTACCTATTTTGAATATCTTTACCTATGTTTCAAATGCTCCATGTTCAACGTATTCTAAATATAATTCACTCTCTCCCCCATCCCACTCTCTCTCCTGTATTTTTCCCCTCTGTAGACACCATTATCTAAATTATTTCCTAAGCAGATGGTCCCAAGTTATTCTCAACTCTTATTCCTCCATGTAATCAATTACCACTTTTTTGTCACTTTTTAAAATACTTAAACCTACATTTTCATCTTCATTTTTATTGCCATTTCTTAATTCAGGTCCTCGTATGTTGTAATTTTTTTATAAAGCCTCTCAGCTGGTCTGCCAATCCCTAATCTTGATTCCCCACTCTCGTGCGGTCAATCCACCCTCCACACTGCCACCAGACTGGTCTTTCTTCCCCAGCCAAAAATCATGAATGGTCTCCCTATCACCGTCACGGTAAAATCCATGTAACAGCATAAACAACAAAGCCCTTGGGATCTCATTTGACTCCTGCCAGACTACCACTCCCAGCTCCACTTCTGACCACCACTCACCTTAATAATAATAAGAGCAGTTGTTAGTACACAGGGTGCTTCTCTGTCACAGAAAAGTGACTTATGTGGATACTATATATTATAGTGCTAAGTGACTCATGTGGGTATTATCTCATAAGTCTCACAATGACTCTGTGATACCATTGTTATTATCCGCATGTTTCAAACTTGCCAAAGTACACAGAGGAGGGGTGCAAGCCCAGGCAGTCTGACTGTGCTTTACAGCTGTGTCTACTTTCATCTGAAGTGCCACATGCTTTTACACCTCTAAAATTTGCACGTCTGCTAAAAAGTTCCTTGCCTTTCTAATCACAATTCTGCCTCTTCTTTTCTCCAGACTTTGGTGTGCAGTCATAAGCCCCAAACAGAGTTGTTGCTTTTTGTTGTTGTTGTGCTCATTAGAGCACGTTTTCCAACATCTATTTGGCATTTATCTTAAACCAATGACACATACCAACTCATTCCTCATCCCACACCCCCAACTCTCAAGCAAAGACAAAGGGACTGAAGGTGTCATGTCCCCAGGTTGAGCCCTAGAGGAGGGTATGATTCTCTACAAACCTTCAAATGGAAGGAGTGGAGAGATTATCAGTGGCATGAAAGAGGCCACCCTCTTCCCCTTTTCATTGTTCTTGCTGGCCATTACCAGAAAGGCAGAATCACAATTGATGAGCAAGGCTTAAGTTCATGGCAGAAGGCGAGGTAGATGGGATGGAGAAGCATAGAGAACACCTGTCTAGTCATTGAATTTAAAGAACTGCACTGTAGATGGCCCTGCTTATCAGATTAGGAGCAAAGATAATAGACAATGAGTAGAAAACCTGTTTGGACACAGTATCTACATGCCTCCTCCTTTCAGTAGCTTTTAAAGGGCAGGGAACTGTCTTTGAAATCACTCCATCTCATTCATACCTACATCTCTTTATTTATCTGCCTCCAAAGGTGTTTGTTTAAAAAAAGAAATGAACAAAAGAAATAAGCTAATAAGGAACAAAGAGAAGAAACAACACTTACAAATAGCTGTCTTCACTAAATTCACTTCTTAAGCAATTACAACTCATAATGCCCTGTTACATCCACTATTTTAGTAAGTAGAACTTAATGAGAAAACCCACGTGGGTAAAATTATCATCAGTGGAAATTACTGCTGTCTTCAAATTTGTAGATACGAGAGAGTTTTCCATGTAGGGATTTAAGGCAAAACTGATTTCCCCAGAGAACTTTTTTGTGGAACAACTGCCATCAGAATGTGACCCTCCCCCAGCATGAAAAATGGCTGTGAGAATCAAAGCATCCACCAGTCAAAGAGCCATCGCCCAACATACGTGATCGTCCATCTAAATGAACCCCAGAAACTGCCTCCCTAATCGGACATTAAGAAACAATAATGACAATGATGGAATAAAATTAAATAACACCCTAATAAATAAAACGTCTCAACATTTTTCTCACTATCTCACACTCCATACTGTTTGGCATGACAATAGGTTTTAAAGAAAAGAAAGTTCCAGGGACGCTCATCCTGATAATATTCATTAAATTAGTATCCTGTAATCTAGTTTCCATTTAGCCATTGGAATTTCCCAGCAACCCCTGGCTTGAGGAAAAGTGTACAAAATATAAAAATATAATATAAAGACAAAAGTGTGGCCACAATCAAATGTTTACAGCAATGAAGAGGCAAAGAAGTGAATATGCGTGTCCATAGTGATACTGTATCCATCTTCATACCTCTTCATGAATCTCCAGCACGGCAGAAGACTTCCTGACTGTGGTTACAGTGTGCAGTCTACATATAGGAGAAGAAAATGCAATTTAATATATACATATATAAAAATGCATAAATAGTATGTATTTACATATATAACTATGTAATACTATGTATTTATATATGTATTACATAACATATACACACACATAAATACATATGTACATATACATGCATATGTATATGCCAAACTTGACTACCATGAGGATTATGTGCACAAATCTTGAATTAGAGACAGAAAGAAAATAATAATTCAATTTGGAATATTCCAAGTCAAGGAATTATTTGGGCAGAGCTTTCCAAAAATAAACCACTTGTTTACAGCACATTTCCTGTGCCGTAATGAGTTTCCCATCTTCTAGAACAAAATTAATTGCACACCTACCTGCACTTGACTAGGCTTGTGATTCACCTACTGAAGGAATGTTCTTTATGAAGACAGCATTACAAACCAAGGTGGTCAGGGGAGGTTTCATTATGTTAGCAATGCCAGAGCTTGGGGCTTTGTTCTTCCTCATTATCTTTACACAATACCAGGAATGCAAATGCCTCCATCCTTCACTGCACACCCCTAATCAAATGTTTGAATCCCCAGTGCCTTTTGAACATTTCTTCTCCATCTGAGATAGGTCTAGCACCTGCAGCCTTTTTCCTCTGTCACTGACCACAGGTGGCCTCATTAGTCTCTGTGTAGGCAGAGGCCTAGGACTCCATGAGCTGCACTGCCAGTGTCTTCCTTCCTCAGCCTCTGGTTCATTAGCTTTCAACAATGTGCAAGAGAATCATCTGGGAGAGGTAAACCATCAAACAATGGAAGCGCAGGGCCGATCCAGACAAAGCCAAATCTCTGCAGGTGAGGCCCAGGCAGCAGTCATTTTTCAAAGTTCCCCAGGTGTCTCCATGACACAGCCAGGGTGGAGAAGTGCTGTTGACAACATATGGGAGACTACATCTGGATACCCAGGTGTAGGGAAGAATAACATTCCAGAGAGAGCTCTTGGCCACATTTGTTTCCTTTGGCTCACCAGCTTCTACCAAAATCTCAGAGGATTCAATTCAGGAGGAAAAAACAACTTTAACTTTCAATGAACTGCTAAGATGATCCAAAATTTTTTCCACAATCCCATATTCAGTACGTTAGCTTTATTATTTGATTTCAAAATATTTCCCAAGAGGGTGATCCCTTATAAGCAAAAACATTTGGGGACTCAGAAAAGAAAATAACAAGGATATTGATTAATCCAGTTTAATTCACTTGTTCTGGTTTGTGCAATAATTCTGAACTAGCTTCACATCACTTAACCTTGCTCTACAGACCTGCACATTACTCACTTGCATAGCTTCTTAATAACAACAAAGAGAAACGAGGTTTCATTTTGTCTTCTTTGTAAAGATTAAAAAGAAACCTCTGGTGGTACCATCCTCCCTTCTGCTCTTCTCTGAAGCAGCCCCTTCCAAAATCTGTGACTCAACATCTCTTCAGCATTCCTTTTGCAAAGAGACTTCAACCTCTAGCACCTAAGTGCTCCTCACTGCTTCAGCTCTATTGCCTACTTTTTCTCCGAAAGCTGACCCTCTAGAGAGTAGAAACAGCCCCTGTCCTCCTCCAGCAGAGCAATTGCTATATTACGTATAAACAGCTAATAGGAACCAGTGAACCAAGCTGTCTCTTGCCTGATTGATTTTCCCAAAGGTCTGTGGCCCTAAGTCACTTTCTCCCACATAAATTTCCTTCTTCCTGTTGTTGAGTATCGAATATTTATAGGCTCCTCATAGTTGGGAGTGAATGTACAGAACACAGAGGCAATCCGAGGCAAAATTATGAGGTACATGAAATTTGCTTGCAGTCATTCCTGTCAAATTCCCGTCTCCTTCAGATGAAGAAGTGCCCCATTAATTTCTCCCACAACTGCTCTATTAAAATTATTCTCTCTATCTGCATTTGTAACAAAATATCAACAGCTGACGAGGACATAGTGTTATTACTTCAGAAAGAGAAGTGTTTTAGCATTTGGATTTAACTGTTCAATTCAACAGCAAAGGCATTCACCATTAAAAATATGAAAGCACTACTAACAATTGTTCCTTAGATCTTTTCACACATCAATTCTGCTTAATTCTTACAACTTCAAGTATTGTTATTTGTTTATTCCAATTCTAGGCTCTATGAAGTTAATTTGCTCAAAGATACAGAGCTATTGTAAATAGCTGAACCTTAAATACTGGTCTTCTAACTTCAAATTCTGTGTCTCTTCCCCTGTACCACAGCAACAATGATAATGCTACCCTTTATTTGTGCCTTTCTGTCATCTTTTCATTTGATCCATGGGGAGGAACCTAAAAGTCCAAAATATTTGTCACTTGCTCAGGCACATTGAAAGGACAAGACAAAATCCACATCTTCTCATAGCTAGTTCTACCTTCTTTCCACTGTCCCTTACTTACTCAAGGAAAGAAGTACTTAAAATCTAGAAATCAAGTAAATAAGAATCAAAAGCACTGAGACCTGGGGCCGTCTTGACACCCCTCACCTCAGAGCGTGAATTCAGGAATTCAGGTGCTTGTTCCACTTTTTACTGCTAATACTGACTCTGAGTAAACACAGAAGACCACCAATCACCCCCAAGTATTTACTCGCCCTGATTCTTTTGGGCCTTTAGGAAAAATAATGCCAGATCCCCAAACTCCCTTCATCGTGTAGCAGAAACAGTATCAACCAAAAAGCATGCATTTTGAAACCCAGTAGACCTGAATTTGAATTCCTCCTCTGTTACTTTCTAGCTGTTTAAACATGGGCAGCTTACTTAACTTTAACCTTACTTGAACCTCAATTTCTTCTTCTGACAAAGAAAAAGAATAACCCGCGGCTCTTGTGAGAATAAAATAAAAGAAACCTGGCACAGGGTAGAAATGTCATCTCCCTCTCCCTTCTTCTTCTGCCTGCCCAACTTTTATATCCTTAGCTAGTGGTTGTGATATGTCAAACAAGAGAATCGTTCTGTTGTGAGGTCAAGGCCATGTAAAACAGTATTCTTGGAATAAAATGGATTTGCTCCCAGATATGGAAAGTACAAGCCATGGATAAATAGTGGTTGTGGCTCAAATTGACACATCTCTGTAACTTAGTTGCTCCAGGATCAAAAACAGAATCACTTCTCGCTATCTATCCATGTCATACAAACTCTAATAGCTGATTACTTGATTTCAGGAATTTTTATAAGAAAAATAAAGTTATTTCTACAATACTCCTAGGTGATGAGCTTCAGCCCTAAGAAAACAGCATATCTGAGTAGCTTGAACTACACAGGATTTTGAAACAAAGAGACTGTAATTCATTTAAAGCTTCTGAAATTTTACCTGAAGTCTTCGAGAGACTTCTTCTTGGTTGCTCTCAAACCACCAGTTTGGCAACAGGCAAATTTGTAATCAATAACTTGGTAGATGATGGGATTGTACATCGCTGCAGACTTTGCAAGCAGGGTTGGCACCACAGAGAGCTGTATGGGAATGGAGTCTGGCCTTCCAAAAGCTGACCACACAGACACCACTGCATAAGGAATCCAGGCAATCAGGAATCCGGCACAAATCAACATCGCTACCTGATGAGGGAAAGCAGCAGAGAAAAGAATCAAGATGACTGGTAAGGACATAAGTCTGAAACATTGGGTACGGAGAAGGATCAGGTCACTTCTTCGCACCCAAGAGAGTCTGTCATTGCTTTCATATATTGTGTCCATAGCAATCATTTCATATGGACTTCTGAGAAGTTCAGCCAAAAGAAGTGATTATAATTTTTTATCCCATTTACCACATCCTATGCAGTTTCCACTCTAGAATCTGAATGTACCCAAAGACCCAAAATATAACCCTCAAATAGCTGTCAGATTATGCCTCTGTGGGTCAGGAAATCGTAATATTTCTGGACTTCTCAACCTACATTCACTTAAAAACTCATTGGAAAATATATTCACCTTGATGAAATTTTAAATCATCCATATTCGCCTCAGGAAACAGAAACTCTGCCCTGGTTTGAAATTCTAATTTGCATTTTCAGAAATTTCTACTAAACGTCATTCCTTTTGAGTCAAATTTTTCTCAGGCTTGAGGCTCACATAGTAGAAATTCACTAGGTAGATAATGTAAAATAAGTCATTGAGATTCAGCCAAAGTGGCACAGTTGTATGGAACAAGACTTTTCCAGGAAACATTCACTCTCACAGAATTATAGTCACCTTCGGGGCTTCTTTATTTTCAGACCAAAGAATAATTAGCGATAGAATTTAAAAGACCCTCATGAGTCTCTCACCATCTGCAATTCACTCCCTTTAATACTGTAGTCCTAATTAGTGCTGTGTAACTACCTGCCTGACCCCTATACATCATCTCACTTCAATTCAACAAACTCTTTTTAGCAAGTGCTTTGTGTAAGACACTATGCATACTGCTGTGGGGAGTACCAGTAAAACCTAGAGCCTGACTTGTATCCCTCTAGAATACAAATAACTACAATATAAGGCTGGATATGATTTAAGTGGCAGTGCAGCAGAGGACCTATGTACATCCTATTGGGCAAATTAAGAAATTTTTTTTTTGAGACAGTGTTTTGCTCTTGTTGCCCAGGCTGGAGTGCAATGGCGCAATCTCATCTCATTGCAACCTCCACCTCCCACGTTCAAGCGATTCTCCTGCCTCAGCCTCTTGAGTAGCTGGTATTACAAGTGTGTGCACGAGGCCTGGCTAATTTTTGTATTTTTGTAGAGACAGTGTTTCATCACGTTAGCCAGGCTGGCTTTGAACTCCTGACCTTAGGTGATCCACCCACCTCGGCCTCCCAAAGTGCTGGGATTACAGGCATGAGCACCCATGTCCTCTTTGAGGACAGTTTCAAAGAGGACATGCACCTTAGCAAGTAGAAATAAAGGAGTAGTAGTGGGACAAGTAAAGGCAAAGACAGGAATGTGAGAGGTCTGTATAGGAACCAGCGAGCAATTCACTGTGATGTGGTCTGAGAAAGCAACAAAGGGAGATGAGGCAGGAAAGAAAGATAGCATCCATGTATTCAGGGTTTGGTATGACATTATTGAGCTTGCACTCAATTCTATATTCTTTGAGACACTAGCAGGCTTTCGAGCAGAAAATACGGTGACAGCCTTGCTTAGGAGGATTAACCTGTAGCGTAAAATGGGGCAGAAAGAAATAGAAGGTAGAAAGATAATTGTTTATTCATTCAATTGACAAGTATTCCTGAGCATCTTCCACATGTTTTGTGTGAAGGATAAAGCAACAAACAAAAAGACACATTCCTGCCCACATAGAATTTCTACTCTTAGCAGGTGTGGTTAGGCAAGAGTTTAAAGAAGAAATAAGAAATTAGAGTATTGAGATCGACAAATGAAATCAAAACGTTGGTTTTTATTTTAAACCTGAGCTATTTCAGTTCCTAATTGAGAAAGCACACACTAACATCAAAGTATCCTTACGCACTGTTATCTACTAGGATGTTTCTTCTGTAAAATAAATTTCAAAACTGTATCTTCTGTGTAGTAGGCATCTATTTTTACAGAGGGGCTGTTTGTTTGCCTTATTTCCATCTTTCCAGTGTATCTCTTCTAATTTAGCATCACCAGAACCCCTCAATCTGCTAAGCTGCTTTGTGAAGTTGGCATCGTTGGCACCACATGACCCAAATCTGACCAATCAGAGGACTACACATTCCTGGCTACAGTAATCGAAATAGAGAGCAGTACATGACTTAACAGATCTTGATCAGACCCACCTTGAGGATTTTATGAAGGAGTTTCAGGAAAACTGGACTTCCCTATAATCTCTGAGTAAGGATGGAGTTATGCCAGGTTTCACTTCCTTTCACTCCCATCCCCCACTTTAAGAAGTAAAATAACAATTCCCAACATCAGGGTCATGACAAGTTGTAGAGAATCAGTGCTAAGGAATGAGGCACACCATGCTTTATTAGTAATAATTAAAGCAACATCATTTGTGAATGCCTTTTTTGTTTTCGATGGTTTATTGGATGTGGTTTTCCTATAACAAAGTCATATGTGTGCACATGTATTTTAGTACACTTTAGTGGTAAACAGGCAAGGTGCACGGCCTTCGGTCTACTTGACCTGTGGAACAGCCTGTCTATGGGATGTGTTTGCCCTGGGAACCCACCTCTGTGAGGTGTATAAGAATGAAACATAGAAAATTTTGCCCTAAAGTTTCAGGTTCTAAAATTCCACCCTGAATTTCAGAACGCATCTCTGAATATTAACTATTAACTGCAGCACAAACACACACACACACACACACGCACCCCCCCCCAAAAAAAAAAAAAAACCTTAATAATATCAGTTTTGTTGCATTTTACAAATAGACAATCTGAATCTCCAGGAAATGAATCAAGTGAGCCCAGATCTCCTGCATGACCTGCAACCTTCCTTTAGGCCCTGGGCCAAAACTCTCACCTGTGCATAACAGTCAAACTGTCAAGTCCTAATACACACATGCAGTTCTCCCATTGGACTTGCTTTTCTATCTTTCTACGAAGCTTACCCAGGAGAAATTTTTATTTGGTTAGGTCTGTGTGACTTTTGCTTGTAAATGGAATGGATGCCTCAAGGCTCACAGTGAGTGCCTTCTTTTTCTAAATCCCCAAATAAACACTAGCTGTAGAAATAAAGCTTGCTTTAGCAGATGTCTGGGGACTTAACATAGCTCCATCTTTGCTTCTTTGGTGAGTCATATGATGAGTTCACAGTATCCCAAAAGCTGTTTTCTGTGTTGCTGCCAAAGTCATTGACAAAAAATAGATTAGCACTTAGTCCATAATATTTTCTATATTTTACGTATTTTCTACTTTTAGAAGAGTGTGCAATTGGGGAACAGGAAAGACTTAAAACATTTGCATTATGTTATCCTTCTTAAAAGGACATAGAAGAATTAAATATACTGCAGTTTTACAAACACATAGCAAATGAATCACTGTGGTTTTTCTGGGATTAGAATACATCTAAATACTTTAAATTGAAAGACTTAGAAATTGAGTTTAAAGCAGAAAGAGGGATAAAAGGCTAGATCTAAAAAGTACTACACAATGTTATTTATGTTTCTAAAGTGGATACAAAGTTAATATAAGGCACATTGACTTTTTATAACCTTTTCATTTAAAAATACACTCTCAAAAATATGAAACATTTAAATATGAATACTATTTTAAGATATAGGCCACAAAAGATTTCAAAACTTTCATTTTACACTCCATTTTTGTCAGCACTTTCTACTCAGCTTGGAATATGTTTAATCTGTTCATCAGTTTGTTTTTTACTTTCCTTAATTCGAAGTGTGTCTTCATTTTTATTTTCTAAAATCTCTATTCCAGATTTCCTTAAGGCAGTTCTAACACAGCCTCCTCTACCCTTCAGCTTTTTCTAAGTTGTTTATTTCTTTTAATTACTTCACTTTTATCACTGCCTTTTTGGGTCACTGGAAAAGCAGTAAGACTTCAAATCCTAAATTAGACAATTTTTGTGGGCGGAAATTCACAGAGTACATGTTTGGCTTCTACAAAAGAATCACACATCTGCAACCCAGTTCATTTTAAGTACATCATGCTGCAGAGGACCGAGGGATACAGCCATTTTCCAGCTCCAGTTCAAGCTGACATTGTGTCACAAAAGCAGTGTTGTCCGTAATTGCTCAATTCCAATGAATTAACCAATTAAAGCAATAATAGAATAATGTGGTTGAAAGAAAATTCTCCACGGCTATGCCTCTGTGTCTAATACATCTGAAGCATTCCAGCAGATAAGGTTTCTGAGGAGTTTCCCTCCTTTCAACGTGCTGAGCGTGGAATAGTGGGAAAAGTCATTGGCATGGAGATACTCTGAGTAACTTTGTGATACCAGTCATGGTTCAGCTCCACTGACCAGTGTGAGTGGGGCAGAATCCCTCATTTTCTAGGAACAGCTATTTCAGAAGGGGTACCCAGCTCCTCCCTTCAGGCTCCTTTGCCCAAATATGAATAAGACTTCAGCTAACACTTGAAACTGCATAATACCTTGAATAATAAAACAGATGGGAAGAAAATATAGAATTGATGTGAAAATAAGGTTGAAAAAGAAAACCAGAGAGATGAAATAAGTTCCCTGTGAATAACAAGATTGAATCACATTATAGAACCAATTAGACTGGGGATGGCAAAGATATTTCAGTGGCTATGGTGAGATAACGTTATCAGGAGAGATCACCTCTATGCATTAGAGAACAGGAAGAATAAGCACCTCACCTGCTTCAGGAGAGAGTGCAATTGACGGGAGCATGTGTGTGACAAGATTTTGTTTTTCTATTTTGGGTCTAGCTAGCAAGTGTATGGATTTGAGTCCAATCAGTAAGAAAATAATATTAAAAATCAGTAATTCCAGTTATGAGACTACTACCTTCCACATGTAGAGCCAGCCACCTGTCACTGAGTGATTCTACCTGTGGCAAGCAGAAAGGTAGGGAACTTGACAACTGTGATCTACCTTCTTTGTTTCCCTCACATACACACACAAATAAGAGTGGTGACACTTACTTAGCTTTCACATTACCTTTTAAG